CTTGAGAGTCCTCCTTGATAGCAACGACCTCTGGTGCTTTGGCTTCTTTCCTCACCCACACCTTCTTCACCTTTTTCACCTTTGATCCACCGGACCGATTCTTTAGTAGGAAACAGTGTTGTCTTGAATTAGATGAATGATTTGGTACTGACCTAGTTGATTCCTTCCATCCTTGATGAAATGGCGTAGAGAATTGAGGCATCCATGGCATGTAATACATAAAAGGATAACCAAACGGTGACATTGGATATGGATACCATGGCATCGCAACCGGAGGTTTGTATGGAGTTGGTATAGTTGATGGCTCCGATTGGTTTGGTGTTTGACCAAATCTCTTCCTACAAGATGATCTTGGTCTTTTTGAATCATTAGTTTGATTATGAAATCGTTGACTGGCTAATCCTTTCTTATACTTAGCCATAGGCATCTCAAAAGTGAGCTTCGGCTTTTTGGTCTTTATGGAACTAGATAATTCATCCTTTGTAACCTTACGATCTTCGGCCTTTGCATTATTGATCCTAATTGTGTCGAGCCGAGGATCCCCAATAATAACACTTTTCCCTTTTGTGGATTCGGCTTGACTAGGCCGAATCACTACTTTTTCGTTGTCTAAATCAGTACAACTAATAGTTTCACAAGTGACCGATGAAGTATCAATCGGTCTTTGTTCCATCAAGCTTGCATCTTTGAAATAATCATGAAACTCATGGTCCATTTGTGATCATGTAGAAATTGAATTAGGAGCAAGTAAACTATACCATGTAGATGCAAAGTTTGACAAAGTAAGAGGAAACAATTTTAACTTAAGCAAATCGTCAGTACCGGGCTTACCATATTGTTCAATAAATTGGCCGATATGCTCCATTATTGTTCTAGCATCCTCACCTGTCAATTTCGTGAAGTTGGGCACCTCAAATCCTTGCGGGTATAGGACCGAATCTACATGTTCAGGATACGGCTTTTAATATGTATGCATAGCTTCTTTGGATTCTATTTCACTACTATCCCGCAAGACATTGTCCTCATCTTTTCCAATATCCACATGACCAATTTGTGATTCGGTCTTAGGTGACAATGCTATTTCACTTTTGCTTGTAATACAATCCAAACCGTCATTTAGTTCGGTTATACTCTCAATGGTGTCATTGTCTAAACTAGCAACACAATTCGAACCATCACTTGGTTCGGCTATTCCATCATTGTCTAAACTAGTAACACAATCCAAACCAACACTTAGTTCGGCTATACTCGTTACGGCATCATTGCACAAATTATTAACACAATCCAAATCATTGCTTGGTTCGGCTATACATGCTATATTATCAGTGCAAATAGCATGTGTATGTAGAATAGCATGACTAATAGTACTAACATGAGGCAAATAACAATTTAAATCAGTGCTTTTAGTCATAGGACAAAACTCTGGAAGAGGTCCCAGGGTGCCGGTCTGACCGGCTATGGATAACCCGGTCTGACCGGCCAATGGCCCAGTCTGACCGGTGGTCAATGATGCGGTCAGACCGGCCACAGGAGGCACGATCTGGCCAAGATAAGGTACGGTTTGACCAGCTATGGTTGGCGCGGTCTGACCGGCAAAGATTGCTATCTGACCAGCGTGATGCGCGGTCTAACTGTTGGCTAAGCTTTTCGTATAACCGATTCCTGTGGAATCGGCTGTGTGAACACCCGCTGATCCATCCATAGTATTATGAATATGTTGTGTAGACGCAAAAGTAGAAGTAGCATGATATTGTTGACAACTGGCTATTTTAGAGCCAATTTTCTTACTAGAATAAGTTTTACAAGCATCTTCTACCATATTTTTATCAAAATAAGCACTAAAAGATGCATCTATACAATGATCAATATGTTTTAGAATGGCAAGACATGGATCAGGCGAATTGGAGGTTACCTTATCGTCAAATACGGGTTTGTAAAGAGAACCAGGCTTGAGAACCACACCTTGACGGGTCCTAGTGCACGTCTTCATCAATATCTCCTGGCTATACGCCTTGAGATGTTCCTATATGGCCTTGCGTGCTCCCTCATCAAGATCGTCCAATGTGACCATGTCGATCTCGTTCCCGCTCGCCATGGTTGATGAAGAAATTCCTTGATTAATTTGGGCCACATAGCTCATAACCGAAATATTTGACCGAATAAATTAATATACGATCGTGATTTTTCTTGATATGGTACTGTACTTATCAAAAATATTTGATCTATTTGGTAATCAACCGTGTAGGCCTAGCAAATATTTGGAATTTTTGACAGAACAGCCGAATATGAATCGGCTTTGATTTTTTGTAATTTTCCTCGGTAGATGTGCTAATGTATGTACTAACAGAAACCAATTCAGTTTTGCCTATTGATTAAATCGACTTTGTATAGCCTGATTTTTTTTAACACGTACAAACCGAATTGGATTAAGTTTCTGATCTCTTGGCCGTGTACAGCTGAGAAGCTGCCGGCCATGCTACTGCTCCACTTCTCCGGTCTGACCGGACTAAATATGTCGGTTAGACCGGCAAAATAAGCGGCCAGATCGGTAGTACAAGAACAATGTCACCGATCTGAATCAATCAACACAATGATCAATAGATATGTACAGTGGCAGTAGATAGATAGATTGATTTCGGCTGTTTAGCCGAAACTCTCGATTTGACGAAACAGAAATTACTAGATTAAACGAAATTCGACCGTGATATGGCCGATTAGATCGTTCTCCAATGGAGTCACCAAAAATCGCGTTGGCAACTTTTTGTGATAAGTCGACAAGCACGATTGCAACACCTAAACGCCTGGTGATATGGAGTCGTCAACCACCTCGATCTAGTCAAACAGCCAAATCAAGATGGGTTTTGTCGAAAAACAGCTAAACCGACTAGCGGGGTCGATTTAGAGATCAAAATCAGCCTCTAGGCCGATTTAGATCGATATGGGGATAACTGCCCATCTCGTGGGCAAAACGGAAGGTTTTCAGGACAAACCTACATAGAGGTGTCGCACTGTCGCAGCGGTGGCGGATGATTTACGACGCAAATCGACAAAGATGGACTAAACCTAGGTTAAAATAGAAAACATGGTAAAAGAAAAATTCAAATATATTGTATTCGGGGGTTTACAATGAACCGGCCTTGTCCCTTAAATAGGAGTTGGTCTTGCCCTGTACAGGCCCTTCTCCACGTTCAACTCGGGATAGTGACCAAAGGAAACACGAAACATAGTCTTCCCGAGCAAGGAAACCCGAGGCCCAACGAAAACAGACTCAGACTTGGACCATGACGGTTTGACTGCACACATACCTGCGGTCAGACCGGCCCTACTAGTCGGTCAGACAGCCCATATACCCATGGTCTGACCGGCCCTGTAAAGGAAACCCAGCACTTTCCAAACATTGGCAATTTTCCTCTATTTTGTCCATAGGTGTCAAATTTGGGTGTAAACAGTCGGCACACTCTATTCCAATCGACCAAACAATTGCCACCATTGGCCTTCTCTTGCTCTGAGCATAAGAAGCTCCTTCTCTTGTCTATAGGTTTGGTTACCTCTTGTATAGTTGAGAGCACTGCTTTCACCGTAACTAAGCGACTGGCACTGTTTATGAGTGAGGCCTTCCACAAAGGGAGTTCATCAGCAACTCTGTCAGTAAGGGATAGAAAGTCCGCTTTAGAAGGCTTCTTTACTGTCAAAGGGAGAACCAAATAAGATCAAGGGAAGTCCTTCACCTCACAAGGCAGGGAGTTAGCAATTACTTGCAGCTAGCTCTTCATCAAAACATATAATAGGAATAACAAACCTCTTTTGCATATTTGTTAACAGCCCAAAAGCAAGACCAACGATATTTGGTTTGACAATTTGCTCAATTTTTAGCTTCAATAGTCTTTTAATGAGGATTTTAAAATTCTTCATCTTTGTTCGCATGAAGTTCCGGCCTGTTTCTTTTTTTTTTCTGCAAAGCCCCCCACCCCAACATCTCTCATAGTAGTTTCTGCTCATCTTTCGTGTAGCTCGAATGGCAGTCACATCCCTGCCATCATCTTGTTATAGTGTTGCTCGGAGTCGGGACGAAGTCAGTCAGGCTGAATATACATCGACCCCATCCCTAATTCCTAATTTTGAGGTTATAGCAAAATACCTACCAGCTGCCCACCACGATTGATAAGCGCTTACCCAAACAAGCAGTACAAAAAACAATTAAACAATGACTGTATATATTGTTCTTCAAGGTAATAAGCATCAGTACTTCCATCAACTTGGCTTGTACTGAGCAACATTAGGTGTATATCTAAATACAGGTGTAAGTTCATTGCAGGTTTGTAGGTGTAATAGTTTTATAATGCCCAAGGAGGCCTTAGGCATATAATAAACAAGAGGTTGCCAGGTTGAATCTGTAAGTTCTGATGGCGAATATAAATATGGTTACCTGGTAATTGTTGAGCTCATTGTGTTGTCGCCAAGAAAACATTTGAATATTTTGGATGGTCCTCAAGCATATAGAAGAGATGAGAAGTAAGTCATTATGCGTTATTAACTGTGTGTTTAACCATCTGTTCATGAGGTCAATTTATAATAATTAATCATTCATTGTGTTTTGGTCAAGTATCCTTTTAATTAAGGAAGGAAAATAATTTATTTTCTTCACCATGTATATGTGTATAAAACCTGTAATGGACTATCCAGCTCAATTGATCATGTATATTCATTGCCACCTCAGTTCCGATATATGTAGCATGCATTATAAAATTTTAACAAAAGGGATAAAGATTTATTTATTAGGCAATGATATCATCACTCTACGTATGCTCCCATCCTCAAGAAAAGATAATATATGATGGTAGATCGTGATTATCATAGCTTATTGAAAATAAAGAGTGACAGAAATCAAGATAGATCGATCGATGGCACACTGGCTTGGATATCATGATATCCGTTTTATTAATGAGTACTCCAGAGTGGCATAGCCTTCCATGGGCTTCGATGTGTGAAGCCCTTATGCTTGCATGTTGCACTTGCTTAGGAAACAACGGTGACAGTCTCAGCTTCCTTGGTACAGAAGCGGTGGCATGCATCGTTGCAACGATCGACGGCATAATTCGCTTCTTCATTGCTAGAAACTGAAAAGGAAAACAAATGATTCAATCTATACATTAGCTATATACAACAAAGAATCTTTATTTTTTTGGTTGAAAATCAATGGTAATTTAATATGATGTTTTTTCTTGCTTACGAGTGCTCATGGTGCTGCACACAGACGAAGCACATCCCAGCTTGCAGAAGTCAAGTACCTCCGATTCCTCTGCAAAATCATGTATATGCATGAATAAATGCTTGTACCAATAGATATTACAAAATTAATAGCCCAAAAGTTTACACAAAGAGAGTTAATATGTTTTAATTTGCCTAGGTTAGCTGGGGTGAAGGGCGTGGTGAATGCAAGATAGAAATATAGATAAGGAGAGTTAATGTTTCTAATTTACCAGCTTCAGGGTGAAGGGTATGGTGAACGTAAGGAGGCTTGCAATTCCCATCAACAATTTTGCAGCCAGAAAGTTTAGCACAGGTGTCTCTTGAGCCACCCGCGAAACGGCATGAGTTATAGACGTTTCTTGCTGTGGTGGATGGGCAACAACTCTTTGCTTCCACCTGGATCTTCTCTTGTTGCAGGACTAAGCCTAGCACTAGCATACACATGATCAAACTCTTCACTCCTTCCATGTTTTCTAGCTTGTTTTCCAATGAGATTTAGTCGGGGATCAACAAACTAAAGCAAGAGGGCTGAAAGGCTACTGCTTCCTTGGTCTTGTGGTTGTGCATCTGATTGGAGAGTGCGACGCGTCTATTTATAGTTGAAGCCAACATCATGCCCAAGCTGCACCCGCATGATAGAGATGATTATGTTATTTTAATTCACAATAGTTATATTGATGATATGTTCTCTATATTTGTTTGTTTAGAGACCAAGCTACTTTATTGCATGACACATGTATATAGATGGCTTGGTACATACTTACCTGCTATCGTCCAGCGAAATATAGAAGACCGAGTGTGTACCGTGTTCTGTTGACTGCAACTGATCCCATTTCATGCAAAACTTTTGCTGCCCATGTGGTGAACGTGATGAGAAATAGAAGCTTAATCACATGACATCTTCTGCCTTAGTAGCATCTATAGCTAGTAGTACTGGCCTGGTAGCTAGGTGGCTGTTAAAAATTTTACTAAAAAAAATGTCACTACTACACATTAGGCTAACCTATGGGTATAGCTGTTTACAACACCCAAATTTTAGAATCGGATGTATCCAATCGATAATAGTACTGCTGCCAGTTAATGTTGTATACTAGCAGTGATTATTTCATACACTAGCAAATTTAAGTCGATGGCCACTTGACAGCAACAACACACGTGGAGGACATATCAAAAGAAAACGGCACTAAGCTGTTGTGAAAAAAGAAACATATACATCAGCACAAATCTAACGATACCGATGGAGTTCAGCATCACTTTCTGTCACTGTAGCTATGTCCTTACCAACATATATTATTGCCTTCTCTTGCCTCCTCTCTCTAGATATGTGTAGAATCATGTGATGATTTAATCGTGGTGATGAACAATTGTCAAAAGTGAGTGCTTTGTGAAAATACGGTGAATAGTGTTTTCGGTAGTCGGCTCTTGGTGGCTGGTCAGACTAGGCGGGGACTGCCGGTCAGACCAGTGGTGTTGGACTGGTCTAACCGGGTTGCCCAACGGTCAGATTAGCAGACTCCAGGTAGGAGTTAGTTTCGGATTATTTTCGTGGGATTTCTACAGTGCTTTATGGATATGACTTCTAGATGGTTTCTATTCATATATGATGCTATTGTGTGATTGTCTGAGTGAAGTTAGTGTAAACTTGCTGCCTCCACGCCACCGGATCTGGCGGAGGCGAGGTCCAACCCGCCACCACCGCTACACCTCTTCTCTCGCTCGATCTGGCGGGGGGAGGGGGGGTCCGGGCCGCCGCCTCCATGTCGTCCGCCGCCGCTGCACCTCCCCTCCCCCCGATCTAGTTGACGGGAGGGCGTCGCTACCTCTCCCGCCGCTGCCGCAGAGAGAGAGAGACACAGAGAGAGAAGAAGCGTCGCTACCTCTCCCACCGCTGCTGCAGAGAGAGAGAGAGGAGAAGGCGGGAGAAGGGCTCGGCCTTATCTCCTGCCAGTGTGGGTGTGGGCCCCATCTGGAGGAAAAATATCTCCCCTGGCTGGTTCGGCTCGATTTTATCGGTTTCGGTTTTTTTAAAAACCGGCACTTATAATTAATTATAGGTGAACCGACACCTAAAATATAGGTGCCAGTTTTTCTGTAAAACTGTCACCTATCTTCGTTTAAAGGTGTTAGTTTTTTTTTTTTCATTTTATGAAGGTGGGAAAAGCACTATAGGTACCGGTTTAATCACTTCCGTTACCTATAGTGGCAACACCTATTTGATATTTTGTATGAGTGACTATGAGTATTGTTAAGTCAGATTTGACATCACATATGCTTTAATTTTTTTTAATAAAACCACTCGGCTGGTTGATTTATTTGCTCTTTGACTATATGTTTAGTTTGTTCATCTAATCACATAGTTGAGGTTACACCTAATTAGCTGCATCTAGTCGATGCCACTGACACCCTCCTTCCCTCCAACTAGATCAAGGACAGGGAGGGAAAGGAAGTGCAGCCGCCGCCAGCTTCCGCCCCTTCGGCCAGACTAGGAAGAGAGTGGAGGGGCTGTGGTGGAAAGGGAAGTGGAAAAGGTGAGGGAGAGAGCTGAGACGGGTGAGGGGCTGAGAGGTCGAGCAGTTAGGGTGTGGGAGGGGCAAGGTGCGCTCGTTGGTTGTGATCCAATTTTTTTAAGCCGCTCCTATATTTACTGGCGAACGTCTTAAGTCCTCGCCAGCAAAAAAATGTTAAATTACTGGCAAGGTCTAAAGAGGACCACATGCGAAAATTACTGGCAAGGACTTGAGAAGCCAGAATACAGTATAGCTCATGAGCTGGTCAGTGATGACCAGAGTTGAGGTAGAGGATAATTAAGTAGACCCCTCCATAAAATAATTGCTGGAATAGACCCTTTTTGGCATCAACCTGATTGGCGCCCTTCCTCTCTTGTATTTAGAGATCAGAGAGTAACCCTAAAAACTTTGTTTTCCCCCCAAATTTTAGGCCTCCCAATGTGGGATTTTAGGCTTGTATTGGTTCTTGTATGTAACTTGCTTCAAGCTCTTAGAATTTTTCAGATATATAGGTGTTATTCAAAATTTTAAGTTGAAAAATGAATGCATGAATATATGCATAAATTAATTTATAGGCATTCAATTGAAGGTATGTGTTAGTTTATTGGTGTGTATTGATAATAGATTTGAGCCATGGATTTTTCATTTTCATAGGTATTTATTATATGGATGATAGACTAATTTTGTGGGATGATACACTAATGGTGTACAAACCATACAATTAGGTTCGTCAGTTTATCAGAGTCGGTCGGCACGTGATAGGTCAATGATCGAATGGTACGTAGAGTGATCTCGCTGCATGTGATTGTGATCGGATAAGTACTATCAGCTGAGTGATGTAAAGAATAGACTAATTAAATTATATTATAAAAATATCTAAGTGCTAGCTCTCTGATAGATGATAATATAATCTGTGTATGCATATCTCGTGCATAAATATTATAACCTATACAAATTTGCTTCCTTGGATGGATATAATGCAGAAACATTCAGGCATTCGGACCATGCTTATTGCACTAGCTTGTACAGTTGCACCTATACCTATTGTCAGAACAAGCATGGTGAAGTGAGGTGATCTAGCTAGTAAGGAAGTAGCACCTATACCTCTCCTCCTCAAATCCTCTCATGGAAGTTGAAGAGCAGTATATACTACACCATTCCTCTTTTTTTTCGATTTAATTGGTCAAATTTAGAGATTGGAGAGTAACCCTAAAAACTTCTTTTTTTTTCCCCAAATTTTAGGCCTCCCAATGTGGGATTTTAGGCTTGTATTGGTTCTTGTATGTAATGTGCTTCTAGCTCTTAGAATTTTTCAGATATATAGGTGTTATTAAAAATTTTAAGTTGAAAAACGAATGCATGAATATATGCATAAATTAATTTATATGCATTCAATTGAAGGTATGCTAGTTTATTGTTGTGTATGGATAATAAATTTGAGCCAAGGATTTTTCATTTTTATAGGTATTTATTAGATGGATGATAGACTAATTTTGTGGGGTAATCGACTAATGGTGTACTAAGCGTACAATTCGGTTCATTAGTTTATCAGTCGGTCGGCACGTGATAGGTCAATATTCGAATGGTACGTAGAGTGATCTCGCCGCATGTGATTGTGATCGGATATGTACTATCAGCTGAGTGATGTAAAGAATAAACTAATTAAATTCCAGTATAAAAATATCTAAGTGCTAGCTCTCTGATCGATGATAATATAATATGTGTATGCATATCTCGTGCATATATATTATCACCTATACAAATTTGCTTCCTTGGATTATGTAGATGGATATAATGCAGGGACATGCAGGCATGCGGACCATGCTTATTGCACTAGCTTGTACAGTTGCACCTATACCTATTGTCAGAACAAACATGGTGAAGTGAGGTCTAGCTAGTAAGGAAGTAGCAACTAATAGTTCTGCATTGTACTAGTCGTTGTAGCCCATGTAACGACCGCTGCCCCACTCTTTGGTTTTACCCCGATTTATGTTAACAAAATTTTAAAATACTTAATGTGAAATTTTTTATATAGAAGTTGTTTAAAAATATTAGATAAATCTATTTCTATCTTTGTAATAATTGTAACTCAATTAATCATGCTAGCCGTTTAGAAATATCTACGCACTTTAACCCTTTTTTTGTGTGTGTTTTAGAATTGTAAAGTTACATATAAATTATTCGAGCCCAATTTCATACTTGCACTAAACCCCTAAAAAACCGTAAACATATATATTTCCTATAAAAGACATAATATGATCCTCGGCGTCCCAAGGTGTCTTGGTTGGCTCCGTCAATGCACTAACTCGACGAAACCAATATGGCACCTAGAGCACCTCATATTCTGTGATGATTTAATAACCTAGGAACTAAATCCATATATAAATGAATAATTATAAAAAAAAAATACATATATACCACATATCCTAAGTCCCAAAAATCACAAAATTGACATATAAAAAAATTGCATCTACATTTTTTAATAAAAATTGACATCGCACAAAATTGACAAATTGTCATTTCACAAATATCACCCTAAGTCCCAAATTTCACATATCACAAATTGCACATATCACAAATTTTCACAAAAAACCTAAAACACGCTTACCGCTAGCGGCTTGGGGTGGAGGTGGCCGGCGGCGGATTTTGGGGAAGCCGGCTGCTTGGGAAGGAGGTGGCCGGCGGCAGAGGTCGGTAAGGCCAGCGGCTTGGGGAGGAGGTCGGCGGCGGCAGAGGTCGGGGAGGCTGGTTGTTTCGGGAGGACGACGGCCGCGGCGGAGGTCGGGGAGGCCGGCGTGAGGGCGAGGAGGAGAGGAGGCGGCAGCGGCCCAGATCTTGATGGAGGAGGAGAGGAGTAGAGGAGGAGGCAGCGGCGGTGGCCGGAGAGGACGTCGCCAGCATGAAGGGCGAGGAGGAGAGGAGCCGGCGGCAGAGGTGGAGGCTGGTGAGGCGAGGAGGCCACCGGCGGCGTTTGGGGCTCCGCGAGGAGGCGGCGGCGGCGGCGGCAAACAACTGGGCAGCGTCGGTGGT